TTCCATTTTAATTAATGAAATATTAAGGCATATCAGAATATCTTTCGTAATTCGTAAGGGTTTTGCTTGTTTTGGAACAAAAATAGTTTTCAAGATTTGAATCTCATTAAGGTTTTTAAAATCAGTACTGCATATCTCTATAACTCCAGAAGAATGGAATATAAACTGAATATTGATGAATAGCTGGAAGTGGAATGTACTGCATAAATACAGGAATGTGTTTTAGGCCTCTTATTTTAATGCACAAAAACATTCAGTCATAATTTCTTTCATTTCAAACAAGGAGTTGCCTAGGGTTTTTCAGTTTTTTTGTTTTCCCCTTTGGTATTTAGTCTAGCTGTACCATGCATTTCTTGAAATTTCTGTCCAGTAGGTCTTTTATGATATGAAAGGTGTCATCTGAGTTGCTAGAGAATGCATTTGAGATACTGATGAAAGTTAATGTGTCCACCACATTTAAAACATATACAAATCCTGCTAAATAAACCAGGGGGCCTTTTAATACAGATTTCTTTGTACACTCTCCTTGTTATCTTACCTCGGTTCTGCATGAACTCATGATTATATATGCAAAGTGCATTACAAGACTTAATGGGATTACTTTTGTGAAGTTCAGCGTATCAGGAATGTTTTGTAATGTAAGATACTTAAGTCTATTTGTATAAAAATCTTCATGCTAGCTGTACCTCATCAAAGAAGAAACATAAACCAAAATTCTTTCATTGATCCTTGTCAGCACTGTAGGCTCTTTCTTTTTTATGGTGACATTAAACCTTCAGAAACAGCATGTGTTTTTCTCTGTTACAATATGTATTGTTTCTGCCTGTCTGAAGATCAGTGTGTTTCTGGTAATACTTTCAGCAAACCAAAGTGCTTCTTTTTCCAACAAATGTTTTATGCACAGCTTCATTATCTCTTTCATAAAAAGGAAACAAATTCTCTAGATTTTATATAGATTCTACCTCCTTTATTACAAGGACAGTCATTATTACAAGGTTTGTCAAGACTGCTGGAAATAACAGAATGATAAAATAACAAAGTTTGTACTATGGAAAATTGTATGCATACTGTCAGAAATACACGTGTCTCAAATGGTACCTTATCTGGGCCATAAGTGATGTACATGCTAAGCCAAAATCACCCCAGCTGCCATGCTAGAAATGAAGCACAGTCATTAATGCCAATATGAATGTCAGCATAAGTAGTGATCGTACTTTTCTGATTTACCACAATAGCAGGCCTAGAACTCATACTTCTTGGTTTTCATAAAGTGGAAGATAAAATTCAGTTGCAGTTTCTGAAGTAGAGCATGTCTGATGCAACTTCTCTTGAGTGTTTGTTATGCTATTAAATTTACCAGGTGCTTTAGGAATTAAGCTTAAAACTACTTTATCAAGCTTTCTCTTCTGCTTCACTTCTTATTTAGGGATTGATCCAAAACCATCCAGACTGCCATTTATTTCAGTTCAACTCCCTTGGATCAAGTTCTCATGTCTGTTATACTTCTGCAATTTTGTAGTTAAAAACTGACATCATTTGAACTGTTCCTAATTTAAGGGTGAGCAAAATAAACCCTTCTGTATTTTTTTTTAAATCAATCTCTTCCTTTCTGGTTTAAAGCCTTCTGAATCTTGTCCTTAGTTTCAGGCTATCATTGGAAACCATGTCCCAAAACCAAAGTTTTAGGTTAGATTATACTATCAGGTAGGCATCTGTTACTCCTTAAAGGAGTATTTCAGGATAGAAGAATTTATCTGAAAGAAAATAAATTACTTAAATGCTAAAGTTTTTGTCACAGTAAGATGAAGGATCTCTTGGCAGTAACTCAAGCTAGCTGAGGTAAGTAGCAGCATACTTAAAAATTCTGTTAAAAGTAGGATGAAGTGTATTTTCAATAAAGAAGGTTGTCTTTTCCTTTTTTTTCCCCCCTTCATTTTCCTTACTGACAGAATGTACACAGCAACTTGTTCAAACTAAGGGAAAAAATCTTTCTTTGCCTGATGCTGTTTAGACTGTGATGAGATACCTCTAGGGCACAAGTGTGTAAGATCCCTATAACTTGAACTAGTACCTTCTGCATCCTGCAATACCTAAATAAGGCATTTAATTGTTATTTCACTGCTGTGCATCTGTGTCATGGTTCATTCATTTAGCATAAATCTCTTAGATTAAGGAGTTTGGAGCTTAAACATTTTAAATAATACCGATGTAATGATCCTTACACTTTTGCTGGATCAGCAAGCAGGACCTAAGTTTTTCAAACTTGATGTGAAGGTGAAGTCCATCATACAGTGCTGTGGCTCCTCTTTTTTCCAACTCTACTGCAAAAGATTTGGAGGGGCTCTGGGATGCTGACTGGGAGATATGAAGTAGTAGCCAGCAATCTATTTTTACATTTTAAAAGGTTTTTTACGTTTTAAAAGGGTTCTTCCCACCAACAAATCTCTCTTCCAGATGTTTTCTTTTGCTTAAGTTTATTCATGTAGACACAAAATAATTTTATCAAAGAATTGCTACTTATCAAAACTGAGTATTTTATTTATATTAAAAAATAGACACTGTTTGTGGTTTTGAAATGATTGTTTGGACTTTTCAAAAGTTTTAAAATGTATTAGAAACCCATTGACTTAGGGGCTCTTGAAAATCCTTCCTGTTGTATTACCTGTTTTTAATGTGGAGTAATAGGTTGTAAGACCTCATGGAGAAATACAAGCATGTCTTTAAGTAATTTTAATGAAAGGTGCAGAAATATGATGCACACAAATGTTTTGCTTGACTCACTCTGAAGTTATTTCAGGTGGATCTGATTATCTTTTGTCTGACTTACGAGAAGGCTTTCCTAGGAGGCAGAAAGAATGAAGTTGAGGATTAAAAAAACTCTTGACAGACAAAGACCCAAGAACACAATAATCTCAAGAGAAGGCTTAAACTGAAATCTAAATTATTTGTGTTACCAGTAAGTGACAACCATATGAGTGTGATAAAAATACACAAACACACAACTGCAAGGGAATTTAACCTATTTGTATGAGAATTATATTTGAGCTGCACTAGATTAAACTAAAATCTTAGTCAAAAGACCTGTATGACTAAGGATCACATCTTCTTTAACTTCAGCATATGTATATCGAAATTTCGATCACAGCTTTAAATGTTTATGGCCAACTTGAGACTGGCATTTCATAAGTTTTCAAGAACAGTCTTCTCAGTTCTTTTGCTTGTCATAGATGGGCAATTATCATCAGGCAAATGGGATTCATTTCAAAGCACCCCTTTAGGTAAACATCACCTGAAAGGTTGTTTTCTATAAGAAAGCAGGTGTTTTTGTAGTTCAGGTTATTTAACTAGAGGCTAAATGTTAGTAAAATAAGGCAGTATGTTGTTTCCACATGGTCAGCAAGTTTGACTGGATACATGCATTTATGCAAAAACTAGTGGTTTGTCTTCACAAGGGGTTGGTCTTGAATTAAGAATGGGGTTTTTTATTAGTAGAAGAGACTGAGGGAACAGGGGGAAAGATGGATCTGAGTCATTATGGTTTGTAGGTTTGTACTGTGCTCTGTTGTTCTCTTCATCTCGTCTGATATTATGCTGGATGAGATTTTATGGCAGATTTGATTTCATTCATTCAGCTGTTTAATCATCCGTAAATGTCTATGTATACGTATTTATCTTTTTTGGTCATTCTAGAAGATGGCTTTTTCTTTCTTTATCTTGCTGGTACCTGTAATCCTCTATTCTTCATTATATCCAACATTTCAACTGGAAAACAGGAAAAAACCAGCTCTGAATGGTATTGTGTATGTTTGATTGTTTTCCCTGATGTTCTTTAAATACATACATGCAACATATATATTAAGATAAAAAGGAAATAAGAGGTTTTATTTGTAGAAATATATAAACAAATATTTTATATGTAGATATATCATTACAAATTTATTTCCTCTTATTATGAAATGCTATGTTTATAAACTTTATAGAAAACTTCAGTCGAGCGAGAAATTTAGTCTGGAATCAGAAATTTTCTCTGTATAGCTGTCAGCAGTCATCTAAAAAATTGCTATACGGGGTTTGATTTAGATTTACAGTTCATCAGGCTGTATATCCTGAAATTTGTTGAAACAATTTCCTCCATAAAAATTTTCTGTTCATCATTTGCAGTTGACATCTGGAGGTTTTATTCTTCTGTTCCTTATCAGGAATAACAATCCTGTAAATACATGTAAATAAATTTCAAGTATACTAAATCAATATATGAAATGTCTTAATGCCTGCTATTCAAGAGGAAGAAAATCTGAAAGGTTGGTGTTGATCAGTTCTCAAATTGAGTTTTTGTCCTGTTAAATTATTAATTTGTCATGGCAGTGGATATTCTGCAGAGAAGAAACTGTTAAAAAAAGACAAAGTAGAGTAGCGGTTGACTAGTCCAAATATTACTTTGTTACTACAGAGTTGTTTTCCTGATTGACAAGATGGATGCTCTTTACAAACTAAATATGTTATGGGTTTTTCCCTGTTGCAAGATCAGGGATTTGATTTGTGGCTACTTCAGCCTACAAAACAGGAAAACTGTGTATTTGTCTATAGGCAATATTTGTCTACTCTGTAACAAATAGTGATAGAATATTAATACACGTAACAGTTCAGGTGCTCCAAGAAAGATCTTCAGAAATGAAGGTAAACTTGTTTAAGGAATTCCAACAGTTTTAATTTCTCATCTTAACGTCAGAGTTTTTGTTTCTGTTACCCTGCTTTCCCTGGCTCCGTAGTAAAATAAAATTGAAACAAAAATTTTTTGACTCATTGTCTGCACAGTACAGCGTTGTGTTTTTCATTTCAGCAAGTAGCAAATCATTCTACTTCCTGAGAAAGCAATACAACTGAAACTTTTTATGGAAGTGTTTTGCTTGGTATTTCAGAAGTCACAAATGATCTCCAAAATTATACTAAAACATAAAAACAAGTTTAGTTTGTTTAACCAAATATTTTTCCTTCTTCAGAGGAGGAACCTGCTCCAAACAGTGTTGTTGAAGAATACCTTCAGGAGAAGAGAAAGTATGAAGACAAGCGGAAGCAGCAGCCAAAGAAAGGGGTTTCTCGTGAAGATCAGGTAATAGTTTGACAACCTGGGGAAAAAAAATTCCAGAAAAAGTTCTGAAAATGTTTCTCTCTTCATTTGTGTAAAAATAGTTTTAAAATCCATTGCATTTCATTTTCCATTAAAAGAATCTTATTATTTGTGAAAATAAATATGTACTCTTCAGTCCCCTATTTTGATTACCCAGGTAGACAGGTAAGTGAAGTTTCAACGTGTGTTTGAAAGTGCTATCGCTTTAGTCACTAAAATCTTGCAAAGGAAATACTACCCATGCAGAGGTATCCTTGATTACATCTACAAGAGTTTGCATTTCTATAGAATGCTTTCCTTGGCTCTGCAGCTTGCTATAAGATAACACTGGGACAGAATTTTGCATACTTGGCATCTGTCCAAGCTGGGTTTTTAACGTTTTAAATTATATTTTAAAGAGATTAAATTCATCCCTACCTTTTGGTGTTGTGAAATGAACAGAAGCAGTTTTCAACTGAACTGTAAAAAGAAAACCCTTTTTAAATATAATGAAAATGAGTTAGGATATGTGTAGACTTTAGTACGCAAATATGAGCAAAGTAAAGTTTGACATAAATACTTGTTTTTCAAAAATAGGAAAGTTTGAAACTGTTAAATGTATGAAACTGCCTGCTAAGTGGAAAATACTATTAACTTAAAATCTGTGCAGTACATCAAACTCATTGGTTTATAAGTGGATGTCAGTTCAGTTACGAAGATGTTCATATGCAACTGCTGAAGCTAGAAGAGATTGGAAACTTGAGGCTTAATCACTTCAAAGCAGTGGTTGGCAAACACATGCAGCAACCTGATTTAGCTCTAAACTAAGAAGTTTATGGAAACTTTGTACATTCAAAAGGCCATTAGCTTTGAATCAGAGAGTACTAAAGTTCTGTTGGCAATGTGGATCAAGGGACTTAAAACCACTTCTAATGAATTTATATCAGTCCTGTCGTGGACATCATAGGAAAACAAGGTGAGATGACAGGGATGTATAGTAGATCTTAATTTTTATTTACGTAACCCTGCTGGGAACTATTCAACAATAATCAAGGTCTTTGTAATCCATTTCACTTATGGAGAGCCTCTTCTAGCCTTGCATCCCTCCTACCTGGTCCTACAGCACAATACCATTTTCATCCTCTATACAAGAGTTGAAGAGGGGGAAAGGTATGTGTCTCCTTACAATACCAGATACTGGCAGTCTTAACCTTATAATTCTACAAGGGTCAATTCATAAAGTTATTTGATCCACAGTATGGCGTCTAATCACTCACTGCAAAAATGCCTACTAAGATATTTCAAAATTATTTTTGTCACCAGGTCTGTTCAGGAATGCTGGCACCAAAGAAAATTAGACAAGACACAAGGAATGTGGCTTTGGTTGGTCACAATTTTATGTAGAAAGGCTTAGTTTGTTTTCTTCAGATGGCCTAGGCAGAGATTTGCTGCCTCAGATGTTGCAAGTATGGAGTTTGTTTGCAATAGTATGGAAAGCTATATAATTTGAATGATTTGCAGGGCCAAATATCTTTGAAATTTTCCTCTCTCCCATCTTAAACAGAAGATTAAACATAAAATAAAGAAAATAAATGCAAAAAAACCTCCAAAACATGCCTTTGGCAGTGCTAAAATATTTTTAAAGAATTCAAAAGCCAGGAAACTCCTGAAGTTAAGATTGCTCCCAGAAGGAAATTTGATTCCAGTGAACACTTCTGGTATTTCCTATTTCTGTTTTCTATTCTTGTTTAGTTTTTATTCTTTTAAATTTGGAAAACTTGACCAAACAAAACTAAACAGCCATACAGAGGTGTTTTACAACATAGGTGGCCAACCTATCACCTACAGATCAAATGTAGCCTGCCACGTAAATTCAGTCAAGCACTTATTCCCTGATGCTTTCCTTTCCAGGAGTGTCTCAAATATCAGCAAGAAATAAGCTGTGGGCCGTGCACATTATTCTTATGGTCTGCCCTTTTTTTGAAGCACCGCCTCTCCCATCACAAGGCTCAGGCATACAATTCTTGTATAATCAAAATCTCATTCCGGGTGATCAGAAACAAGACCTGCTGTGTGATCTTCAGGTGTCACCTGAGATTTGGTGACTTTGTTGTAGCTGAAAGACAAGGCAATGTCAGCTGGAGAACAGAATACCAAATATAAATCAGTGTGAGCTTAATGTATGCAGCATAAGAACCTGTATCTGTAGGATTAGTTAAGGTCGCTCATTGTATTTGAGTCAAAAGTTTTGAATTTTTTTCAATGTTAGTACATAATTTAGAAGATCAGCAATGTAAAGTATAGAAATAACAATCAAACTGGGTCTTCAAAGCTTGAATGAGCTGTAATTTATATAATGGATTGCTTTACAAGAAGAAAATAGGTTCAAACAGTCACCAGTGTTGTTTAATCAGCTATTTTATTCTGTAAGTAGCCACAAGTTTTTGTTCCTTTAATATGTATTTTGATTTCACTAGATGGCCAGACAAGCGGTCTCTCACACCTGTGGGGCGCCCTCCCTGCTTGCTTTTGCTGCCTCAACATTGCTCACTCGCTCTCACTTGTTCCCTTGATGGGCACGCTCAATGCATTCTCGCTCTCTTGCCCCTACCCCCAATTCTTGCTGCCTCTCACTCTCACTTGCCTCTCTACAGTTTCTTTCAAATTCATATGAAAGATCTCTCCTCCATCTCATTGTGACAATAGTTTAAAGATGATGTATATACCTGTTGTTGTGTATAAATATATGTAACTTCTCTAAAACCATGTACTTAATTTCAGACACTGGCACTGTTGGACCAATTTAAATCAAAGTTAACCCAGGCAATTGAAGAAACTCCTGAAAATGAGGTTTCTGAACCTGAAGTAGATAATGACGAAGGATGGTGAGTTTTTTTTTTTTTTAATTTGGATTTCTGTGTTTACTGCTGGAAATCCTACTGCACTAACATAGTCTCACTGTTAAGCATGAATTTAAGGAATAGCAGAAACACCAAATGTGAAGACAACTGCTGAAGCAGGAGTCAGCTAATATGTACTTGTTTAGCACTCTGGAAAATAAGCTGGGAGCGTAGAAGATATTTTGCTTTGTGTAGTTGTAAGTCCTACTAAAACTCTGTGTTGGGGGTGTTAAGTATTTTAAAGACTGATTGGCTCATCTGAAGTGTAGGGTGACCCCAGCGAAGCAGAGTACCACTGGAATTGATAAAGCACTGCAGAAGTTATGACCTCAACACCTCCCAATCAAGGAAGCAACTTGTACTGTGTTGTCTCATGTTCATCTTCCATCCAAAGAACCCACCTTAGGTAGGGAAGGGGGTAAAAATCAATATGATTTGAAGTGTGATCCTGAAGTCCTAGACTGCAAGCTGTTAGATTATAATAAAAAATATCTGCGTAAAATGACTAGGAAAAAAGCAAAAACACATAGCAAAAATGTTTTCTAAGGACAGGTCATCTTTTTTTATAAGGCAAGCAAGATAGCTGGTCTAATGAAGTAGGCTGTCTGCCTACAATTTTTTCCTTAGTTTTATGCATAAGCCATCACAGCTACAGCAAAACCACCACTAAAACAGAAAACTTAAAAATGTTCTTGGCAAGTGTTTTAAGACAACCAATATTTCTGTATCTCAGATAACTTAAAATTATTAAGTGAAAATATTTCAGGTGTACACTTACGATCTTCCTAAAGGCTCCTTTCTTGGAAGAGGGACATCAATATGATTACCTGCCCAGTAATCTCCAAACTAGCACCAGTAACCAGACCTGAAAAAAACTGAATTACTGTAAGGAGAAAAACTAAAATGTACAAACATGTACATTAGACACCTTTTTAAAATATAAAATAAATGATGTAACTAAATGTGATTAAAGCATCCTGCATCTTTTTTGACAGGACTCATACAAAACTGTAAGATAACCATGTTAATGAAGTTGTTTTTCTCAGATGAGAAGACAGCATTCATAGGAAATACAAGCTGTCTAAATAACTTAGTTATTTTTACTGTCATTCCACAAATCAAAAAGATGTGCATACTGAAGGAGGAAAGACACCATAAAAAAAGATGGTGAGGGAAGATAATATATGGAAGGAAAAATGTTTTTTACATCTTAACTCACATTTTTTTCCGACATGTTGAGAAATGAAATTTTTCAACTATCTGTAAGTTACACATCAAGTTTCAGTAAGCTATATAATAAAAATGTAAATTTTTTTGTATATTGAATCCAAATATCTTAAGACTATTTGAGGATACATTCCATAAAAATTAAACAACAATTAAAAAATTGTAGGTCATGAAAGGTAAGCTGAATTGCAAATTCTGAGACCAGTTGTGTTGATGAGACTAAAATTTTAGATCACTCTTAGATAACTTTGCCTTTCTTGTTTGTATCATATACATAATGAATCATTGCATATATTTTAATTTAGTAAGATAAAGCTACACAGATTCTGCAACTTTACCTTCACACCTTCTTGCTTTTCACTGAACTGAGCTGAAACCTCACAAGGAAAATTCTAGGATGTGCACAAAACTTCAGACACACATATGGCAGAAAGACTAACACTAGTAGGATAGCACTTAGCGTAGAATTCTTGCAGTTTATAAAACAACATTTTTACATGAGTAGTGTGTAACGAGTGCATTTATTTTTTCAGTGTTCCTTTGTGGGCATTAGTGTAGTCTGCTTTCATCTTTAATTTTTTTTTTTTCCCAAGGAAGAACTGAGCATTTCTCACAGCTTTAGAATCTAACCAAAATGTCTCTGTCTCTTCTGTCTGTCTCTCTTTCTATTTATTTATGTAATGTACCTAAGAAGAACTGAATGTGGAATTTTAAAACATAAGTGCAGGTTAGGTTTCTGAAGTGTACATTTTCTTTCTACTTTTAATATTAATTCCTTTATCTGGAAATACAGCTTTGCTTTCTTTGCTTATATTCTTCGACTATTTTAACAGATAAATCAAAACACAAACATCTTGGCTTTGGATTCTTGTTTCTGAAACAATAGAGAAAATAATTTCCTAAATCTTGCCCCTTTCAGGATAACTCATATTACTAACTTGCTATTATTTTAAGTTTTCTCTTGTCACCATCTATTTGGTTGCTTATTCAAACCACGTAGTCTTCCTTCATTATGTCTTCTCCTATCTCAGGCTCTTTGAGGATGACGGATAACATACAGTATAAATTTTGAAGTCCTTGGATTTCACTGGTATTTTGAAATCCTTCTGAGCTACCAATGTGTTTCTAAGTTCTCCAAGAATTATAGAATAGACTATTTCAGTTGGAAGGGACCTACAGTGATAATCTAGTGCAACTGCTTGACCAATTCAGGGCTGACCAAAAGTTAATGCATGTTACTAAGGTCATTGTCCAAATGCCTTTTAGACACTGACAGGCTGGAGGCATCGACCACCTCTCTAGGAAGCCTGTTCCAGTGCTTGACCAGCCTCTTAGTAAAGAAATGCTTCGTAATGTCCAGTCTAAACCTCTCATGTCCAGTCTAAACCTCTGTTATGCAGCCTTTCCATGAACCTGAAGGACTGGTCTTCATGCCTGATATTTTCTTGTCACAGTAATATAACCTGTCTTTTAAAGACTTCTATAGAGTCCAATCACTATCTTTCCTATTCCTATCTGAGTAACTACTGACATGTAACTGGCGATAATTCTTTTCTCTGTAAGTAATTCATACTGAACAGTGTTGCAATTTCAGATTATGAAGTTGTATTTTTGTTCACAAAATCATATTGCATTCAGAATTGCACTAAAACAAAGACTTAGAATAATATAAAACTACATAATAGAGTAATAATTAACATCATATTATTAATTTTGCAGTGCAGTAAGTGTGCGTGTTAACTTTACAGACAGATGAGACAGTCTATTTTCAAATAATTTACTTTGAAGCTAGATAAATGTACCTGTTACACAAATTGACTATAAACACATACAACATTAACAAAGGAATGAAGTCTTCTAAAAGCTATTAGTGATTGTTAGAATCACTTGGAAAGTTAAATTTCATACTTTACGATAAGAGTTTGTGTTTTCAGTGTCTTTGTTGTATTGGAATATTTGAGATAACTATATTGACTTTACATTTTAAAATTCCTTCTTAATTGAAGTCTACTCCTCAAAAGACAATAGTTCTACTTTACTTGATTTTTATTAAATACAATTAGTGTACGGCATATGCATGTATGATGTACACAAATTATGTGATTCCTCCAGGCCATTTTGTAGGTCATGGTTGCTGTTTTTATGGGAAGTGAAAGCCTGCCAGTATGCTTTGCTCTGCTGTCAGGGTGTGTTATCTGAGGTAAAATGATTGCCTCTAAGACATTTTTATGTGTCCACATGAGTGGCCACACATTGAGGTATAATTTTCATTTTCTGTCAAGATAGAAACCATTACCAATTTGTTATGTTTTCTTTTATTTGGCAAACTTCTCTCTGCATATTTGGCTGAGCTGCTGTATTGGCATGGAGCATAGCAGACGTTTGGGCACTTTTCAGCAGCATTCTACTTTTTATGCAAGAAAAAAAGAAGAAATATGACTCTATTGTAAACAGTGTGTATGGTGGTTGATAATTATTACCAGATTTTACTGTCTAAGAAGGCATCTGAGGAAGTGTTGTGAAGAGAGCTGAAGAGAAATGCATAATAGTAAGTTTTAACATGAAATACCAGAATCTTTGCTGAGACATTCTATTGCAAATAGTGAGAGTCTCTATGTGAGAACGATTATATGTATCTGTCTGCGGCAATCAAAATCCAATTTCCCCTACAGAATTCAAAAGTAGCAAAATAAACATGGTATGTACTGCCAGAATGGGTACTCATAACAATAAAAATGTCTGCAAACAAGTGGACAGACACATTTTTACAGCATCTGGGTACCTCAGGAAGACGTGCTTGATCCTAGTTCTTTCAGGCACAAGCGTTATTGTCCCTATAGTTCTATATTGAGAACTATTGCTTATGCTTTAATGATTTCTCAGGTATCTTCAGTAGTATTTGATCATTAGTTGTTCTTTATTTGCTTACAGTCCAAATAAGAAAGAGTCAGATGCATGACTTCATTCTTCTCTTTCACAAAGGTTGTACAGAGTGCAGCAGAGGTAGGTAGAGATGATCTGGTAGAACTCAGCTGCTCGTTCTGGGCTTAAAGTGTTACCCAAGAAGACTTTTCCCCAAAATGTAGGTGACATCCATCACAGCAGCAGTAAGATATCATCTGCTAATAGTATGAAAACCAAATATGTCACAGCAGAAGACCCAGCTGGAATAATTAATCTACTTGCTACTTCCCATCTGGATTACTGGATAGGCCTGAATTTGAAAGTGAAAACACTGCACAGCTACACTTTATACAGAACACTGCTGCTCCTCATCTTCTTTAGGACTTGGACTGCTGTATACATATAGTTGCATGCATGTGACACCCAGTCAGGTTGTAGTGCCGCTTCAGGGCTCTGATTGTAATATGAAATAGTTACAGCTATAGTAGACGCCAAATTTCAGTCCAGAAAGTGTTATGACAACTGCAGATAATGAAACTGATGATGCAGATCCTGTGAACACAACAAAATATTTTCCATAGAGAGAGTCTAGCTATGGGAGAAAAAAAATAAGATGCAATCAAGTATATTCAAGATTGATTACTTTAGTTAATCTGTGCAAAATATTCCTCTTCAAATAGGATAAGAGTGATAATTAGTACTCTGAAACACCCTCCCATCAAGTAATTCTGGGCGTTCTGAGTGGTTCATCTCTTTCAAAGTGTGAAATCTGAGACTAGATACAGCACTCAGCTAAGTCTTTGTTGAGTGGAAGGATTACTTTATTTGTCATTGCTTCTTTCATGCCTGGTTTC